TATATCTATATTTATATCTATATTTATATCTATATTTATATCTATATCTATATCTATATCTGTCTATATATCTATATCATAGATATATTGTATATATTATAGATATTTGCATATATTATGACCCCCTAGATATTTGCATTTATTAGCACCCCTAGATACTTGCCTCCAATATGCAAAATTCTAAATTCTGCATTCCAGATTACATAAGCAGATATGATTCCAGTAGAATTTTTGCAGTCTGAATGTTGTATTTACTATTTTGTCTTTTTCGAAGATAGTTTCTGAGGCTTAAAAAAAAAATAAACATCTATATAAAAGGAATAGAACATATGGGATTTCTGAGAGTTTTTTGTTAGGCTTAATGTACCTCTCAAATAAAGTCTAGGAGGAAGACAAATACAAAATGTGAGGCAGACAAGAAGGAGTTATCAAAGGAATTGAGAAAGAAATTTCTACTCCCAGTTAGGATGAAGAAAGTCACAAGAGACTTGCTCCTACTCCCAACAATGAGAATGAGCTGGATAAACTATAAAATCATAAATTTAAAAAACCATCCAAAAAGCTGAATATGCTAGAAAAACCTGAATGAACTAAGTCCCAGAAAGAGACAAACCTTTTTTAGGAGAGAATAAAAACTCTTGACTGGTTTATTTCTGGCAGAACATCAGGAAGAAGAGTAAAACTGACATAGAAGAATATAAAGAGAAACCAGCCCAACTTTTAATGAACTGTTTATGGCCACATGTGTGACAGCTTAAAATCCTAAGAAGCCCCAGTCACAGGGTGAGTCTCACACCCACCACCAGTTCTTCCCTATGAAGCCTTCACCAAGTGAACACACCAAAGGCTTGGAGCATGGTAAAGAACTGAGTGATTCATCAAGGTGTGTAGGATTTGCACCAAGTACATGGCAGTGGCCAAAGAAAGACTGGAAATAGAGCAAGAGACCTGAGAGACATCTCCCTGAGGTATAGTGGCCCTTTATCAAGTGCAAGGCAATTGCAAGAGAAGGCTGGGATAAAGCAAAAGAAATGATAAGAAACCTCCCTTATTTCTGCAAGGTGTACAGGACCTTCATCAAGGGCAAAGCAGTGTACTAATGAATGCTAGTGCCTGGGGAACAGGGTGAAGAAATAAGCTATGGTATGGAAACCTGGGGGAGATTATCAAGAGTAAAGAGATCACCTAAGCATCCCAGAAATCTGGTGGCTGGGCTATAAACAAAGAGAAATATCCCATGATTAGAATACTGGCAGCTGGATTATAAGACATAGAGAAGTCTTCAGAGTCTAATCAGGGCTCAGATCCCAGACTTTGCTTAAGGGAGATCCCTGATCCAGACCTCAGAATATTAGCCAAGAGTGAACTGAATCTAAACCTACCACAAAGCCCAGAACCAGTTCACTAGAGATTAGACTGATTCACAGTCCTAACCTATGGGAAGAGGGTGTGCCATTTTCTTAGGATAAATAATATCCATGTTAAATATAATTTACTATTATTTTATATGCAGCGTCTATCACACAATTAAAATTGAGTCGTCTGAAGAAACAAAAAAATTAATGGAAACTTATCCATAGATGACCTGGATGTTGGAATTAGCAGAGGATAATAAAATAATTATGATAACTACAACAAGAAATAACAAAATGGAAATGGTATAATGGAAAAATACAACATCAGAAATAAAGTACTTATTCGATGGGCTTAACAGGAAATTGGGGTAGAAAATATGATTAGTGAACTTGAGAACCATTCAGTAGAAACTGTCCAAAGTTAAACACAAAGAAGAAAATGAATCTAAGAAACTGAAACGAATGTCTGACCTATGGAACTATCACAAGTGGCCTAAAATGTGTGCGTTTGGATTAATATAGCTGTGAAGTTCTTATGTTAGTATTTGAATGTAGTTTGAGGTAAATGTGCTTATTTAATTTCTAGAGCAACAAATTTAAGTATAACAAAAAAGTTGTTAAAAAAATCAATGCAAGACATATAAGAAAGTATACTACAAAATATTATCCAAAGAGTTGGTAGGAAAAGAGGAACAGGAAAACATATAACATAAAACAAATGCTATAAGACTTAAGTTCAATTATAACAATAATTACATTAAATGTGAATAAACATTCAATTTAAAAGGCACAGATTTTCAGATTGAAAAAAATTTCAGAAGACACATCCATATGGTGTTTATAAGAAGTAGACAAAATTAGTAGTATAAAGATTCAGACAAAATTAGTAGTGAGATTGTAGAAAAAAATGTATCTGCAAACACTAAGCATAAGAAAGTTGGTATGCAAACACTAAGCATAATAAAGTTATATTAATGTCAGGCATAGGAAACATTCTAAGGTGAGGCAGCATATTTCATATTGATAAAATGGCCAATTCATTAAAAGAAGACATAAAAATTCTAAGGATGTATGTACCGAGTAAAGGAAGTAAAAATTGAGAGAACTATAGAGAAGGAATCAACAAATCTACAGTGTAGTTGGGAATTTTAACATTCCTCTCTCAGTAATAAGTAGAATAAAAATCAGTAAATATATGAACAGCACTATGATCCAGCTTGACTTAAGCAATATTTATAGATTCCACACTCAATAAGCGATTCTTTTCAAGTTTACAAGGAATACTCACCAAAAGAAATTGGAAATTACTTCAAATAGAATGATAATGGAAATATCTTAGAATTTATTGTATGCAATGAGAACACTAAAAGAAAAAGTGTGTCCTTAAATGCTTATAGCAGAAAATTTAAATAAATGAGTAAAACTTCCATCTTAAGAAGACTTAAGGAAAGTAAATACAAAATAATCAAGATTAAAAAGTAAAAACAGTGATGTAGAAAATAAAAAAAATAGAGAAAAATCAACAAAGCCAGAAATTGGTTCTTTGAAAAAAGTTAATAAAATTGATGTAGTCTTAGAAAAAATGGTCAGGAAAGAGAGAATAGAACAAATTACCAATATCAAGGTTAAAGAGGGAATATCAATGCAGAATCATGGATCCTACAGACATTAAATGGATAATAAGGTGATACAATGAGTAACTTTATTACAATACATTCAGTAACTTAGATGAAATTCATAAATTCCTTGAAATAAAAACCCAAATTAGGAAATCTAACACAGAAAATTGGAAAAAAGCATATACATATTTAAGAAATTGAATTTATCATCAAAATCTTCTCACAAGGAAAACTTCATGCCCAAAGAGACAAGAAGAAATAGGGGCACCTGGGTGGCTCAGTTGGTTAAGCATCTAACTCTTGGTTTTGGCTCAGGTCATGATCTCAGGGATTGGTTTATAAGTTCAAGCCCCACATCAGGCTACATGCTGCTGGTGTGGAGCCTGCTTGGGATTCACTCTCTCTTTCCCTCCCTCTCTCTGCTCCTCCCCCCACTCATGTGTACTGTCTCTCTCTGTCTCTCTCTCTCTCCCTCTCAAAATAAATTAACTTAAAAAAATAAAGAAATAATACAGTCTTTCACAAAATCTTTGGAAAAACAAGGCAGGGGGAATGCTTTCCAACCCATTTTATGATGTGAGGGTAATCTCCATATCAAAATTTGACAAATATTTTACAAGCAAGGGAAACTACAGACCAATATCCCTCATAAACACAGGTGTAAGAATTCTTAATTAGTTAATTATTAATTTAGGATTAAAACTCTAAAAATATTACACACGCACACACATATATACCATAAATACACACCAAGTAAATTCTTTTTTCCAAGAGTGTAGAATAGAATTAACATTTAAGAACCAATCAATGCTGGGGTGCCTGGGTGGCTCAGTTAAGTATCTGACTCTTGGTTTCAACTCAGGTCATGATCTCATGGTTCGTGGGATCAAGCCCTGTGATGGGCTCTGTGCTGACAGCACAGAGCCTGCCTGGGATTTTCTCTCTCCTCTCTCTCTGCCCCTCCCCCACGTGTGTGTGTGTGTGTGTGTGTGTGTGTGTGTGTGTGCGCGCGCGCGCACGCACACATGCAAAATAAATATTTAAAAAATAACACAATGTCGATAGTTGATCCCAAAATATTTGTATATATCTATATACAAAAGAACGAAGTTGAAAACTTACTACACACTATATATAAAAATTAATTCAGAATAGATCAGAGACCAAAATGTAAGAGCTGAATCTATACATTTTTTTGAAGAAATCGGGAGTAAATCTTCATGACTTTGGATTAAGCGATTTTTTTTCCACTGTGACTCCAAAAGCACAAGTTACAAAAGAAAAAAAAATAGATAAATAGGATGTCATCAAAATTAATAACTTTTGTGGTTCAAAGGACACCATCAAGAAAGTAAAAAGACAACCCACAGAATAGAGAAATAAATGTATTTGGCAAGGGATTTGTATTCAAAATATATGAAGAACTCTTTAAATTCAACAATAAAAAGACAAAAAAATGGGCAAAGGATTTAAATAGACATTTCTTTTTTTATTTTGAGACAGTGTGGTGGGGGGAGAGTCAGAAAGAGAGGAGAGAGAGAGAGAGAGAGAGAGAGAGAGAGAGAGAGAGAGAGAGAGA